GATGCTGCCGCTGGAGATTTGGACAAATTATCAGCAGCAGGATCGCTAGTGGCAGAGTCACCCGTGTGTCATCAGATTTAAAGTGCAGTGATTCTTGTTGTTCAGAAGATTCAAATCATTTTTTTTTCTATTTTTACTCTCGTGTTTTTTTCATTTTACATATACAGTAGGCTATATTTGTGGTTTTCTGGGATGGCCTTTGATTCTGTTGTACTCAAGATAAAGTTGTACTATAAACCCCCCACCGGTGAAAACATTAACCATTGCCATCAAGGTTCTCATCTCTGCTTTCTAAAAGCTGCCTCATCACAGTGAATGCTTTTCAAACAACAGGGAGGCTGAGTAACCATCAATGTCAAAGCTTCATTCCCTCCTGCAGAGTAAAACAGTACTCGCAAAATGCAGTTTACTGCATGCTGCTGGCTACTGATTTGTTTTGGCAATTACAGGGTGAAGATGTTCTTTTTTTTTTTATTTTTGTTTTCTAAAAACATTTTCATGGCAAACATTTGCACATTTTTTTCTTCTCATGTGCACATAGAGGGCAAGAGAAATTGCATGGTTATTGTAAACGCCATGGATAACCAAGTATATTATACATGGTTTACATGGGCTATTCCCATGCATTTCTTTACATTGTAACTCACTGGAGTTAATGTACTTAAGGAGGAGAGCCTATTCTCTTAGCAAGGTAAATGTTCACTGAGCTTTAGAAACACAGTAAGGCTCAGTTCACAGTATGAACTGCGTGTGAATCGCACAGGAACCACACCACATTCCTGTGCATTTCACATGCGATTCAGTGTGGTGCGCATCTCACCAAGGACATGCATTTATCTTTTTTTCAAGCTTCAGCACAATCGAATTGTATGGTCGTTTTGTCCCATGCGATCCAGTACAGGTAAACTCACTGCATCTGCAACCTGCATTTGGGGTGTCGTTAACTTTGTATTGACACCCGCAAGGACAGTGCAATTGCAATTCAGCAGGGGTAAAGCGCACGGATTGTGGCAATTTCCTCACCACAGTAGTGTGAACCTAGGCTAACGCATATTTAAATGTGGAGCGGGAGGTTTGCAGAGAGGAAAAGAACATTTCTAGAGTAAAGCTCTGCTTTAAGGTGAAGTTGAGTTTACATCAGTTATCCAATCGTATGCAAGAAAAAAGGATGAGGTTTTAAATTTTGTTACCCCCCCCCCCCCCCCCCCCCCGGTAATCACATATGCTGGAAGGCTGCAGGAGCAGGGACACACAGCTTCCGGTGGGTGGAGCTAGTGGCACACCATCCAGGGCCAACTGGCTGAACCTGGAAGAGACAGCTGACTTCTGATGATGTCAGAAAAGAAAGTGGGGGCAGAGGAAGAGTGACGTTCCTCTTTAGCCTAACCATATGTGACTCCAATTTCCTGCTGAATTGGCTGAAAGTCTGCTGTCGGTGGCCCTATCGGCTTGACAGAAGTTGACCTAAAAATCATCTGAGCCAGGTGGAAAAGTATCAGCTGAACAGTGTCTACTTCTTATCACTGTTCGGGTATTCTGGCAGCCAGATGTGCTGGAAAGGGAGATTCTCCATTCATGTTGTTTATTGTAGATGGAGAAATCTATTGATTCAACTTATTCAGCCTGTGGTACTAAAAGAGAGAAATCTACACATACACTACAGGTGAAACTCGAAAAAATTAGAATATCGTGCAAAAGATCATTTATTTCAGTAATGCAACTTAAAAGGTGAAACTAATATATGAGACTCATTACATGCAAAGCAAGATAGTTCAAGCCGTGATTTGTCATAATTGTGATGATTATGGCTTACAGCTCATGAAAACCCCAAATCCACAATCTCAGAAAATTAGAATATTGTGAAAAGGTGCAATATTCTAGGCTCAAAGTGTCCCACTCTAATCCGCTAATTAAGCCATAACACCTGCAAGGGGTTCCTGAGCCTTTAAATGGTCTCTCAGTCTGGTTCCGTAGGAATCACAATCATGGGAAAGACTGCTGACCTGACAGTTGTACAGAAAACCAACACTGACACCCTCCATAAGGAGGGAAAGCCTCAAAAGGTAATTGCAAAATAAGTTGGATGTTCCCAAAGTGCTGTATCAAAGCACATTAATAGAAAGTTATGTGGAAGGGAAAAGTGTGGAAGAAAAAGGTGCACAAGCAGCAGGGATGACCGCAGCCTGGAGAGGATTGTCAGGAAAAGGCCATTCAAAAGTGTTGGGCACTTTCTCAAGGAGTGGACTGAGGCTGGAGTCAATGCATCAAGAGCCACCACACACAGACAGATGCTGGAAATGGGCTTCAAATGTCGTATTCCTCTTGTCAAGCTGCTCCTGAACAACAAACAACGTCAGAAGCGTCTTACCTGGGCTAAAGAAAAACAGACCTGGTCTGTTGCTCAGTGGTCCAAAGTCCTCTTTTCTGATGAGAGCAACTTTTGCATCTCATTTGGAAACCAAGGACCCAGAGTATGGAGGAAGTATGGAGAGGCACAAGGACCCCGAGTATGGAGGAAGAATGGAGAGGCCCAAGGACCCAGAGTATGGAGGAAAAATGGAGAGTCACACAATGCAAGATGCTTGAAGCCCAGTGTGAAGTTTCCACAGTCTGTGTTGATTTGGGGAGCCATGTCATCTGCTGGTGTTGGTCCACTGTGCTTCATTAAGTCCAGGGTCAACGCAGCCGTCTACTAGGAGATTTTGGAGCACATCATGCTTCCTTCTGCAGACGAGCTTTATGGGGATGCTGACTTCATTTTCCAACAGGACTTGGAACCTGCCCACACTGACCAAAGCACCAAAACCTGGTTCAATGACCGTGGGATTACTGTGATTGACTGGCCAGCAAATTCACCTGACCTGAGCCCCATAGAAAATCTATGGGGCATTGCGAAGAGAAAGATGAGAGACATGAGACCGAACAATGCAGAAGAGCTGAAGGCCGCTATTGAAGCATCCTGGTCTTCCATAACACCTCAAAAGTGCCACAGGCTGATGGCTTCCATGCCACGCCCCATTGAGGCAGTAATTGCTGCAAAAGGGGCCCAAACCAAGTACTGAGTACATATGCATGCTTATACTTTTCAGAGGTCCGATATTGTTCTATGTACAATCCTTGTTTTATTGATTGCATGTAATACTCTAATTTTCTGTGATTTGTGGATTTGGGGTTTTCATGAGCTGTAAGCCATAATCATCACAATTATGACAAATCACGGCTTGAACTATCTTGCTTTGCATGTAATGAGTCTATCTCATATATTAGTTTCACCTTTTAAGTTGTATTACTGAAATAAATGATCTTTTGCACGATATTCTAATTTTTCGAGTTTCACCTGTATATTGCCAAAAGTATTTGGACACCTCTCCAAATCATTGTATTCAGGTGTTCCAATCACCTAAATGGCTACAGGTGTATAAAATCAAGTACCTAGGCATGCAGACTGCTTCTACACACATTTGTGAAAGAATGGGTCGCTCTCAGGAGCTCAGTGAATTCAACCATGGTAACGTGATAGGTATCCACCCTTGCAATAAGTCCATCTGTGAAAATGACAGGACGGGGTCAGCGCATGCTGATGGGCACAGTGCGCAGAAGTCGCCAACTGTCTGCAGAGTCAACAGCTAAAGACCTCCAAACTTTGTGTGGCCTTCAAAATAGCACAGCAACAGTGCATACAGAAGAGAGCTTCATGGAATAGGTTTCAATGGCCGAGCAGCTACATCCAAGCTTTACATCACCAAGCGCAATGCAAAGCGTCGGATGCAGTAGTGTAATGCACGCCGCCACTGGACTCTAGAGCAGTGGAGACAAGTTCTCTGTAGTGACGAATTGCACTTCTCTGTTTGGCAATCTGATGGACATATCTGGGTTTTCCAGTTGCCAGGAGAATGGTTCGTGCCTGTGGGGTTGGTTTTCAGGGGCTGTCCAGTGAAGGGAACTCTTAAGGTGTCAGCATATCAAAACATTTTGGACAATTTCATGCTCCCAACTTTGTGGGAACAGTTTGGGGATGATCCCTTCCTGTTCCAGCATGACTGTGCAGCAGTGCACAAAGCAAGGTCCATAAAAACATAGATGAGCGAGTTTGGGGTGGAGGAACTCGACTGGCCTGCAACTCAACTTGATAGAACACCTTTGGGATGAATTAGAGTGGAGACTGCGAGCCAGGCCTTCTCGTCTGACATCAATACCTGACCTCACATATGCGCTTCTGGAAGAATGGTCAAATATTCCCAGACACACTACTAAACCTTGTGGACAGCCTTCCCAGAAGAGTTGAAGCTGTTCTAGCTGCAAAGAATGGGCCAACTCAATATTGAACCCTATGGACTAAAACTGGGATGCCATTAAAGTTCATGTGTGTAAAGGCAGGCGTCCCAATACTTTTGGCAATATAGTGTACCTGGCTAGCCTTATTTACTAAGAACGGTGACCATTCACTTCTTCTTTAGGAAAATAAACCCTGTTGTGTTCTATAGGTATAAGGCTTTACTGTACTTGGCTATCCTATTGTTACATTTTCAGGTGCTAAACTGGCTTTTACAAAGCAGAGAGAATGAGGAAAGGGGTGTGAAAGCAGCTACTCTAGATTTATTAGAAGTACCTTATGTCTGTAGTAATTTATCTAGGTGAAAAGAATTCAGCTATTGATAACCAACAAAAATGGCACATCACAGCTGACTAAGCATGCATTGAAAGCTATTACAGTAACACTGAGCATGTGCATACATTTTTCAACCTTCACGCTGAGTTTAGATTGCAAGGAAATCTTTGTATTACTGCAAACGGTATGAAAAAGAACATTGAGGTACTTGTATGGCATCTTAAGTTGGCATTTGATTCTGTTCTTGCTATTGATTTCTCATATAGTAACAAATGGAAGATGTTTAAAAAAATGTTTATTTTTTCTTTTATGCAGTTACTATCTCTACATGTACGATAAAGTGGTGGCGCCCAACGTGTCCCTTTCTGCTGCATTATCACAAAACAAGGACTCCAAACCTCTAAGAAGAGAGACTGAGACAAGTAAGCAATCTGTGGCAGAATCGGAGATTCAGGCCCGAAGCACCAAACATAAATCTGTTACCTCCCACCCTGACCCCTCCATAGAGGAACAGGAGAGAGTAGATCAGAAATACGATACAGAAAGCAGTAATAGACAGAGTAAGTAAAGCATGTGAACCTTTCTTCTTGCCAGGACTAAGGCAAGATGTCCTGATAAACTGCTTAGTTTTCTGTTGATATGTGGAATTATCTCCCTAATTGTGTTGTTGTCCCCAGGGATGTGATAAAACGTTATGATAAGACATTAAACCTTCTGTACAGCTGTCCCAGAGACACTGTAACACAACTAAAGGATTTCTGCAGTCCTCTCCCTAATGAATCTTTTATATTCCTTACACTGTAGCTCTTTATTTTGGAATAAATTCTGAATGTAAAACAAAAATATGATCCAATTATCATGGAAAATGTTGTCAATGGATATAGTTCCCCAAGATGCCATGCCTAAATGAGTGCTTTAAAGTGTACTTCCACTTTTGCAGCCAAAAACCACCTACTTTGTATTTATTACATGTCCCCATATAGATAGCATAACTTAAAATAAAATATTTAAAAATTGCAGCTTACATTTTTTTAGATGTTCTTTTCTGGACTCTGGAACTGGTCAGCACTACTATAGTGATCTCTGCAAATGTCTGGGTCCTGTCCTGTGCCACTGTCTCCATTCACTGAGCTCCCTGTGGTTTTTATTTTTTAACGAATACAATACATCCTCTGACTGGATGAGGTGGAGAGGAGGGGCGGTGATGTCATGATTTTCACATCGAGGAATGCCTTGTATTCATTGAAAAAATAATAATTTTGAGAATGGAGGTGGTGTCGAATGAAGTCATTATGCATTGTGGCAACCACTCAACACAGGATCCGGAAGATTGGGGTGATCACTGTACTATTGCTGACGACTACTGCAGTGAATTTCAATTTTCTCAGAGGGGATTCGCTTAGGAAACATGCATACTAAAAAATCATACCTGGAGTTAATTTTAGGTGAATAATTCTTTCACTGGACAGCCATTCATGTGATCTAGACTTGTAAATATTCCCCTATAAGTGCTCTTCCTATAAATATGGTGTATATCTATAGTGCCTTGAAAAAGTATACATACCCCTTGAAATTTCCCACATTTTGTCATGTTACAACCAAAAACGTAAATGTATTTTATTGGGATTTTATGTGATAGACCAACACAAAGTGGCACATAATTGTGAAGTGAAAGGAAAATGATAAATGGTTTTCAAAATTTTTTACAAATAATTATCTGAAAGGTGTGGCGTGTATTTGTATTCAGCCGCTGTAAGTCAGTACTTTGTAGAACCCCCTTTCGCTGCAATTACAGCTGCAAGTCTTTTTGGGTATGTCTCTATCAGCTTTGCACATCTAGAGAGTTAAATTTTTGCCCATTCTTCTTTGCAAAATAGCTCAAGCTCTGTCAGATTGAATGGAGAGCATCTGTGAACAGCAATTTTCAAGTCTGGCCTCAGATTCTCAATTGGATTTAGGTCTGGACTTTGATTGGGCCATTCTAACACATGAATTTGCTTTGATCTGAACCATTCCATCATAGCTCTGGCTGTATGTTTAGGGTCGTTGTCCTGCTGGAAGGTGAACCTCCGCCCCAATCTCAAGTCTTTTGACAGTTTTTCTTCTAAAATTGCCCTGTATTTGGTTCCATCCATCTTCCCATCAACTCGGACCAGCTTCCCTGTCCCTGCTGAAGAAAAGCATCCCCACAACGTGATGCTGACACCACCATGTTTCAAGGTGGGGATGGTTTGTTCAGGGTGATGTGCAGTGTTAGTTTTCCACCACACATAGCGTTTTGCTTTTAAGGCCAAAAAGTTCAATTTTAGTCTCATCTGACCAAAGCACCGTCTTTCACATGTTTGCTGTGTCCCAAACATGGCTTCTCGCCACTGTAAATGGGACTTCTTATGGCTTTCGTTCAACGATGGCTTTTTTCCTGCCACTCTTCCATAAAGGCCAGATTTGTGGAGTGCACGACTCATAGTTGTCCTGTGGACAGATTCTCCCACCTGAGCCGTTGGATCTCTGCAGCTCTTCCAGAGTTACCATGGGCCTCTTGGCTGCTTCTCTGAAGCCATACTCTTTACATTTTTGGATGATGGATTGAACAGTGCTCCATGAGATATTCAAAGCTTGGGATATTTTTTTATAACCTAACCCTGCTTTAATAGTCTTCACAACTTTAACCCTGACCTGTCTGGCGTGTTCCGTGGCCTTCATGATGCTGTTTGTTCATTAATATTTTCCAACAAAGCTCTGAGGGCTTCACAGAACAGCTGTATTTATACTGAGATTAAATTACACACAGGTGGACTCTATTTACTAATTAGGGGACTTCTGAAGGCAATTGGTTCCACTAGATTTTAATTAGGGGTATCAGAGTAAAGGGGGCTGAATACAAATGCATGCCACAGTTTCCATATATTTATTTGCAAAAAATTTTGAAACCCATTTATAATTTTCCTTCCACTTCACAATTATGTGCCACTTTGTGTTTGTCTATCACATAAAATCCCAATAAAATACATTTACGTTTTTGGTTGTAACATGACAAAATGTGGGAAGTTTCAAGGGGTATGAACAGGGGCGGACTGACAACTCATGGGGCCCCCCGGCAATAGGGGATCATGGGGCCCTTGTGTCCTTGCCCAAACTCAAAACAGCCTATGAAAAAGATACCAGGGGCATCTCATGGGGCCCCCTAGTGACCCTGGGCCCTCGGGCAGTGCCCGAGTTTCCAAATGGTCAGTCCGCCCCTGGGTATGAATACTTTTTTAAGGCACTGTTCATAAGTCATTTGAGAGCTAAAAAAAAGTCCTTTGTAAGGAACGTATGCTCTTTTTTAGTGTGTGTTTTTTAAGATATGCCTGCATGAGAGATCAAATGTCAGCAATCTTTACTGTCAGTGTTTTAGTTGAAATTTTAATTAATTTAGGTCACAGAAATACATTTTACCTATGGACTTCATTTTCATAGTCTTAGCTCCATTTTACCTAGCATTTGCTCTGTGTGTCAAATGTGACTGTGGCAGTAGTTAATGAACACAAGAATGACTGCATTGCCCAGTGAGTTCTCTAATCTATCATAACTTGTCAGGCAGGCCCCCTTTTTCCTATGCGTGGGAACATGTGGCATTTTTTCTGAATGGCACTTGAACACACCTTCTTACTGCACTCCCATTTGTGCGCAATGTGTGAAAGGACACTTAGAGTATGGTGTGCTGCCAAAAATGGTGCATATACTACTTTTGCTCACTTGTGGTGCATTGGGCAAGTCATCCAAATGAATGTGCTGCCATAACAAAACTTGTAGCAGAAGTTGTGAAACCTAATTTTGGCTTTACAGAAGGGAGAAAAAACTGAACGCTTAGTCATTAATGTACAAAGGCATGGCCAAACCAGCTCTTCTAACTACCTTTGGCATACCTCGCAGGAGTGCGGACAGCAGCTCTTGTGTAAATGAACCCTGTAACAATGGTATTGTATATTTTATTGGCAGATCAGAAGTGTCCTTATTATCTGCACATCACTTCAAAGCAACAACACAAGTGGAGAAAAAATATTTTTCAACACAAACTGCTCATATTTATCCTCATTCCTACATGATATGCCTCCAGATTAGGGTTGTCATTCACCCCTGTTTGTTTCTACATGAATTTTAGTTGTTTTTTTTTTTTTTTTCTGTTTATCTTTTTTTCTTCACATCCATTTGTTTTTACAAATACATATTTATGACAAAAGATTCCCATAGCGCTATGGCTTCGCTAAAGAGCTCACACAGCACATGAAGATTGCTTTCTGTCTTCTTTGTCTGATTATAATTGTGTACATTTGCTGCATTCATGTGGTATTGCAAATATGAAAAATACAAGTTTCCATTGTTGTCACTGTTAAAGTCCATCTTTGGGAATAACCTTTGCAGTCGGACCCCTATGCACTACAAGGGTTGATTGCTCGTTAGGGGATAGAGGAAAAAAGGGGTATACTTTGTCTGTGTGACTAGTCCCCCAAAGCCTTTTCTCTTAGATGCTCTGACCAGTGGTCGAACACTGATAAATGATCTGCATTGTACATAGGGATGTGAGGGACTGTCTGCAACCAGGAGCATCAGGAAGAAAAAGAGTTCCAACGCCTGTCAGAGCAAAGTAGGTATTACACCTTATCTCTTGACCCCCTAGCTTTAACAAGCATTCTGTTTCTTTTCCACAAATCACAATGATTGGTTAGACAGATCTCACAGAAAGTGCTCGTAAATGGAATGATATGACATGCAAAAAGTACCAAGATAATGATACAACATGAATGCCGCATAAGCCACCTTATATAAGCGATATAATGAAATTCTGGCTGTATGGAGGACAACATAGTCATTTTGCAATAGTTTGTACTTAACTGACAAAGATCAATTTGATATAATTTTTTTTTGTTTGACTGTAATAAATAGATTTACAAAACCAATGTATGTTGCCTTTAAATGAACCTTAACAGTATATTAGCCAGTAAAACAAGAGGAAACTTGTAGGTGAGGGGGAATGTGTCACTGCCTCGGTATGTTGTATATTTAGAGAACGAGTTAACATGATCTTTTGTTGTATCTGGCAAGTGATGTGCCTGCTTATGACCAGGGTTAGTCCTGATCTGAGAACAATGAAATGGTTTAGCAGTGTTATGTCATAGGAGAGGTATTGTGAGTTCTCTGGCAGCAAAAATAACGATTCGAACATCCTAGGCTCACAAATGATAAAACATAATGATGAAACACAAATGCGGTTTGTCTGGGTAGTTAGCAGAGATTATGTGAAATGGCTGAGTATAAGCTGTCTGCTGATTCTACTGCCTCGTTCTGGTCGCACAGCCTTGCCTGCATTATTGCTGTCCTCTTGTACCCTTCGCCATAGTAAAAGATAAACTACATGTTTCCTAGTCTGTGGTCATTTTATGATCTCAGGCATGTGCCTGAAAAAGATTTATTAAACAATCACAGGCTATAAAAGATGAAGAGAATGTATTGCTCCCAACATCTCTCCTTTATTGCCTTCCCGATATCTGCTTCTCAAGCACAGCCGCTGCTCAGCCTTTCTTCTCATCCAATACAGGATTATCAAATTACTTTGAAAAAAATGGTTATTTAGAAGTATTTGTTTCAAATGTGCTGCTTTGAGTTGCCCTTTATATCCATGGTAATGATTTAAAATCTGAACCCTTTAAAACATTTTACATTTAACTTCAGAAAAACAGCTCAATATATGTAGTGTAATATATATATTATTATTATTATTATATAGGACTTCTATAGCGCCAGCAGTTTGCGTAGCGCTTTACAATATAAAGGGAGACAGTACAGCTACAATACAATCAAAACAAGATGATTAAGTGGGCATAAGAGCTTGCAATCTATTAGGGTGGGGCAAGTTGTACAAAAGGTTATAACTGTGGGGGATGAGCTAATGGAAGTGATATATAGAAGTCCACTTACATCCGCTGCTCCATAGAGGAGAATGGAGCCTTTGATCAGGTCCGCCTGTCTGTTTTTCAGGCGGACCCAATCAGGCCACTCATGTGAAAGGGGCCTAAACACCAGGCCCAATCTACCTTTACACTACTTTAATATGTAAATATGTAGGGTTTCAATCTGTTAAAAAAAAAGTAAATAAATATATATATACATTTTTTTTTTGCCTGCCACAGAACCAGACTCTGGAGAGACAGAGAAAGATGGGACACCCTGCAAAGACAAATTATGCGAGGATGACAAGGGTCACATCATGGAAGAAGTAGTGAAAACCTTTCTCAAGCAACAAGAAAAATTGAATTACATTTTACAGAAGAAACAACAAATCCAGATGGTATGAAAGCTTGTGTATAAATGCCGAGTAATTTACCAGGTGCTATATCTCTATATGCTTCCATCATTCTGTGGAAGTCTTGAGTTTTATTGTCAGAAAACAGTTGAGCAAATCATCTGTGATTTATGTGTCTGGCTAAATTTGTTGTTGTGTTGGGAATTTTACCTGTATTAGTGAGACAGAAAGCCTTGGAGGGGCAAATATAAAGCAGACTTTCCTATCAGTAAGTTTGCTATCCTATCACTGCAGAACTGAAAGATTTAGAATTCAGGCAGTTCAGCAGGGTCCAGCCAAATTTCGATTCATGTATGGGCATTGTGGTTGTACAGAAGTCAGTCTACTGATACAACTGTTCTGTACAACACCCTGTAGGATTTTCGCTGCTTGATCAGTGTTGCAGGCTTAAGCCTGCTGTGCTGATCTGTGTATTCTGATGGTGGGGAGTCTCCCTGCTGTCAGAATACAATGGCTCAGCAGGGAGGATTCCCCCTTCCATGTTGAATGTGTGAATGGTGGAATTGGTTCAGTTTTTACATTCAACGCACTGGTTGAACAAAAAAAAAACAGACCCTTCTATGAGATGCTTTACTTATTGCTGATAACTTTGTACCCGATTTTACCCATCCTCTTTGTCAGGCAGTGACCTGGCAAAGTGGCTGATCCAATCTTGTTACAGTCTGGAAGAATAAATGCTCTGTTCTTAAATGAGAAAATAGAAGGCTGCTGAGTCACCGCTGGGAGGGAAGCAGGGTAAGCAGAGCTGCCTGAGAAAATACTGCTCTACAGTGCCTCTCCCTAGGAGGTCAGCAAGGGCTTTATTTTAAGGCCTCCCCAACTCCCCAGCAATGCTATCCTGTGTGTCCATGCACACATAGGCTTTTATCAATCTTTTATTGGCAGAGGCTGGAAAAGCCCCCAGAACTATCCTGTGTTTTGAAGAGGAGTTTTTCAGCTGTAAAAACTCTAGCGCTGAAAAAAAAGGCTGAGCGTTTTTGAGACTCAAGCTTTTTTTTAAATCAATATTTTCGGACACTGAAATTTTCCTACATTATATTCCTACATTTCCCAGTGTGCTTTGCTGCTCTTGCTTTCATTGTCTGACCTGTGCTGTGTGCACACAGGAATATTTCCCAATGTCTTTTTCTGCCTCATTGTTTCAGCTAACTGAACTGTGTGCAGACAGGAAATTTCTTTCATGGACATTTCCCAATGTCCTTTGCGGCCTCATTGTCTCAGCTGGCTGAGCTGTTCCTTCAATGTCATTTCCTTCCCAGTGTGCTTTGCTGCTCTTGCTTTCATTGTTTGACCTGTGCTGTGTACAGACAGGAACATTTCCCAAGGTCCTTCGCTGTCTCATTGTCTCAGATAGCAGAACTGTGTGCAAACAGGAAATTCCTTTTATGGACATATGGAGGATACACAGCAGGATATCAAAGGATGGGTACAGAATCTGTGTCAACTGTTGCTTCTCTCCTCCAGCTGTCTTTGTCTCCTCACCATCCTTAACAGAATCTGTAGCATAGCCCCATCAATTTTCTGCATTCCAGGATCCTTAATGGACGCAACAAGAAAAAGAAAGATAGCTCTTGAACAGCACAGTGCTTTCTCTGCTCTATTGCTCCCCCTGCTCTGAAAATGGTGACTAAACAACTACATAATGACTATTCAGAGATGCATTTTAGGAACGTGGAAGTTAAAAATAGCATAGAGGTGTTTTTCAGCTAAAAAAACACTTTAAAAACACTAACATGGCAAAATGCTAATGCAAAAAAGCGACAAAATGCCTGAAAACCTGCGTTTTCAATGCGGCAACGCTATTGGTGTTTTTATAACGTCCAGTGTGCATGAGGACTTATGCTAATTTTTTACTTGTTTGGGGTGTTCAATTCATAGATATATACCTGAATGTATTGCACCTGAGTGAGTTGTATGTGTTTACAGACATCAAGAAATAGTATTGCCCTCATTCTGGAACAATGAACACCAAACCTAATGAAACCAAATTCAGATCTATTCAGTCTTTAGAATGCATTTTCCTGGTGGCTAAATGCGCAGACCCTAAAACATTGAACTGGAAATGATGTCCAAGCAACATCTGTCTTGTGCAGGGGTGGACTGACCATTCCGGCACTCGGGCACGGGCTGGGGTCAGTAGGGGGCCCCATTAGATGCCCCTGGTACTTTTCATAGGATTTTTTGGGTGTGGTTTGAGTGTGGGCAAGGACACAGGGGCCCCATGATCCCCTATTGCCCGGGGGCACCATGAGTTGCCAGTCCGCCCCTGGTCTTGTGAAAGTAAAAAGCCTGTCAGCAGTTACCCAATCCTTTCTTGTCTTGGTGGTCATCATGGAAGTGCAAGTTGCCAAATATTCTTAACAGCGAATCATTCCCATGATTTCTCCATGACTGGCCTATATTTCCCTAGTACTGGTGAGTACCTTTAATAAGTGGTTCATATTCCAGCCCACAGAACATGAATGGATTAGGAATAAATAATTTTTCTAAACATTCTGTCCTGTCTCTGCCCTGTTCCTCACCTAAAGGATTAGGTGCTTTTGAAGGGGCACAGAAATTAGGTTATTGTAATCTGTAGCCTGTGCCATTACAAGTCAATGTTGTTAGCCTGAGCGTAATCCCCCAAGACTTTTAGAACTCGTGGATCATATCTAGATTTACCTTTTTCTGTATCTGGAAAGTGTATCCTTGATGGGATTACAATGCTCTAGTCAGCACAGCTATCTAGTTAATATATACACGTCCCTCAAATATATCAAAGTATAAATGTGTTACAGAGGCGAAGATGCATTGATGGAGATGCCTTTTATGTAGTAATTAATGGTTGGTTAGGGGGAATTGATCTTTTTTTTATTAATGCTCACCTTTTTTTGGAACAAATGAGCAACAAATGAGTTTGCCTGTTGGTGCACGTCACATATATGGTTGGAATTGTAGAGGAAGAGACTTCCATGAAGGACAAATAGAAAAAACCCTTGGGGAAAAAAAAAAAAAATAATGCCATCTCATGTGTGTGCAATTGTGTGTTGGGCTGAATCTAGCCTGCATATAGCAATTCTTTTGAACGCAGAGGGCATGCTTCTTCACCATTTTGGATGTCACCTTTATTGCAGGAGGTTGAAATGCTGGGTAACTCAAAAGCTATGAAAGAACTGACGACTGAGCAGCAGAACTTGCAAAAGGAGTTTGAGTGCTTGCAGACTGAACATATGCAAAAGATGGAGGAATTGTATAATGAGCAACGGGACTTGGAGGAAAAGCTGAAACAAGTAAAGAAGCAAAAATGCCTGTGTGATTCCAGTTTCGAGAGGGATAAGGAAACTCAATATGCAAACCAGGTGAGAGAGGAGGATATACCATAACACTTCAGCAGATTCGCTGGAACTTTTTGGGCCCTATTTATAGAGCAGCAGTAACCATGGCCAGACTTCTGCTTAAAAAAACATAAAACAGCACATTTATAAAGCACAGTTGTGCGCTTTACAATGTGCAATTATTACAAAAGCACCATTTGAATGAATGGGGGGCTGGGAAAAGGGAACGCCCAATCACGTGACCCTCCGAAGTCATGTAACTGGCCTCTTATCTAATTACAAATTTCATTTTACAGCATTAAGCAGGGAGAACTTCAAAGGACACCGCATGCTTCATACCTCCGTCTCCATTTTATAAACGGGTGTTAAAATAGTCATTGACTCCAGCTGACCTACTCTTCTCTATAAACCACTCCTTTTATGTTCTAAGCAGAAGAATTAATTAAAAGATTATTCTACCCAAAATGGTAATGTTATTCTTAGATGTTGGTGTTTTAAATCATGCATGCACTGGAATTGGGAACAATAGATCACACCACCAGGGCCGTTAAGACATACTGGGGTTTATTTACTAAAGCTGGAAAGGGCAATATCAGGCTGACTTCTGCATAGAAACCAGTCAGCTTCCAGGTTTAATGGCCAAAGCTTAATTGAACAAGCTGAGGCTAGAAGCTGATTGGTTTTTGTTATGGTTAATGGCCCTGGTGGCGTGATCTATTGTTCCTAATTCCAGTTGCCATGCCCATTATTAGATTTATTTTTTTTGTTCCCCAGTTAACGCATATTCAGTATTCATACTTTATGCCAGTTGCTGTAGGGTTAGCACTTTATAAGTAAGAATCATAGGTAGGCAGAGATGGGAACTCAATTTTGAAGACCTTAATACAAGTCCTTAAAGTATATTTGTAACTATAATTTATCAGTCCTATCATTTTCACATCCAATAAACAGCACTTACTGGTTTCAAATTTTTTAATGTGTGGTGCCGTTTTATGGAAGCCTTACTTTTTGAAACCTAAGTATAGCTAAAAGCTTTCTTGACATCCCCTTAGCTGTATTAATCCCCACTGCACCAGTGGTTTATGTCACCAAGGGGTAGGACAGAGGAAGATTTCTACTGAAAGGAGAAGCATCAACACAAGGGACACATCATATAAACTGTTATATCCCTTGAGCTGATTTTCTTGCTTTTTTTTTTTTTTTTTTTTTTTAAAGCTTAGGCTTTGAAAAAAAATATTGGATTTGGGAACGGCAAAATAGGGCAATCAAATGTGTGGTACAAAGGTTTCCTGAGCCCCCCACCCTACACCAGTCCATTGGGAAGTTGTTTTGAGCAAGCACACAACCAGAACAGATCAGATTGCTCCTATGACATGTACTGTATATATATTCCAAAGACTGTCAGGGAGATTATTGGAGATTATGAGTAGGCAAAGATTAAAACATATTACCACAGATTAGAGCCGGAGGAAAAAGTGGAGCTAGCAGGTCAGGCATACAGAGTGACTTGATTGCATATGACTCTGGCTGCAAACTTTTATTTTGAAATACTGCCTAGAACTATGTGGAATTGGAAAGTAATTGTTAAAAATGTAGTTTAATGTCTTTTTTCTGGCCACGGTCTGTAACCCCTAACTTTCTCATTCACTGCCTTTCTGCTTAAAGCCAGCCATAGATGGATTAAATCTTGGCCAATTAAGCAGGGAACTGCTGAGATTCAATCCATCTATGGGCAGGCTAGTGTACTGAAGTCGATTCATTGATCAACTTCAGTACAACTGGCCTGTCAGATTTTTTGCATGCGATTACTAACAGCAACTATAGTCACAAGCAGTAGTCATTGTGTTCTGCCGGCAGGGAATGTTATGGAACCTAATAGCGCTGCACAAGAGATTTCCACATAAACACTGACTTCTAATGAGCGAATCAAGCAATATTCTTTCCAGCAACCCGTGTATGCAGGAAAGAAAATCACATCATCTGTGGCTTGCCTTAAGCTGGCCATAGATGGATAGTCTTTCTTTGATCAGCCAGCTGGCTGATCAAAAGAAAAAAAACAATATGAACGGGTTCCGCCACCCGCACATTCAAGGTGGATGACGAAATTGCGCTATTGTATTCTGACAGCAGAACTTCTCCACTGTCAGAACACGCTTATCAGCACTGCAACCAATTGGCTGCAAGCGTTGATCACATGAAAATATACCGGGAGTCCTGTTCGAGGGGAGACTATCATCAGATTGACCCCTCAAATGGGAATAGGCACAGATATATTGAAATTTGTCTAATCCCTGCTTAACTGGCTGAATTTCGACCCATCTATGGCCATCTTAAGTGTATAAACACAGCGTCATCTGTCATAAATTTTTTTGTTTCTTTTTAAAAGTACTGTATCCCCACTAGAGCATCAGTTTCTGGGCTTCAATCTAAGATTTTGTATTGACATGTACTGCAACTAATAAAAATGATGAGGACTGAGTACAGCTTTGCTTTAAAGCAATTTTACAGTATATGTCAGTTTTGTTGGGCTTACATCTTAGAAATAAAGTCTGCTTCTTACACTTTCTAAACAGCTGACAGTGTGTGAAACTGTAACCTCTGGAGTGTTAATGCAAAGTTTGACTCAACTGTTTAAAGATGTGTACATTTGAATCACATGTAAATTATACACGTTCGAGAACTTGGAAGCTGTTACAGAGAATGAATATTATTACTTATAAACTGGAAATGTTGAAGATATAGTCTCCTTTTTTGAATTTGGAGTCTTGGAGACTGATGTATTACAGGAAACTGATTATCTTTGACTTTAGTTTTTTTCTGCCCCGAACAAGTATACAGTTTGTGAAGTAAAAACCCCTGATCTGCCTACTTTTACTTGGTCAGGGACTCAGAAAGCATTCATGTAAATGAATTTGTGTGACTTCCAACTAGCATTTTCAAAAGGTCAGTTATGATAGCACCCATATTTCAAAGCCAGAGTTCCCCTTAAATGCAAATCTTATTGCAGGGGTTTATTTGAAACTTCTATTTTTATGGCTAAGTAGACTTTCACATTTTAGCACATCTGCAGTCTTTTCTAGCATTCCACTGAATAATTTTACAAGTTATTTATTACATCTGGAAATTCTCCTTTAGAAAAATTTTTTCTTTAATGTCCACTGAGGGACACAGTAATTATGAGAGTCTGGTTATACTGCTGCCTACAGGAGTTTGGAACAGTGGAAAATCGAAAAATGCTGTAAGCCAGCCCTTGTATAACTTCTTCTCTACCCAGCATGCCTCAACTGTTGCTAGTGTCCTAGAGGGTTGGACATCTTTGCCTCAGCTCTCTGAAAGAAAATTCAACTACATTTTTGCTAGACTTTCATTTTCAGGATTTTATTTTCTTTAATGACCTCAGTGAAGGTCCTTGATAAACTGCTCTGTAGGTTAATTCAAGACACCTCTGCTTAAGCTGGTCTTTACATAGCAGCTATGTAAAGATCAGTACATCTTCAGCAACAACTTTTGAGGCCTAGCTCAGACTCCAGTGCAGTGTGGGGCTAGCTTGAAACGGGACCTTTGGGCACTAGGCTCTGCCTTTTGGCACTTTCCAGACCTTTGTGTACTGTGTTGGTTAGCCGCATAGCACCCTATGGGTTCAGAGCTGTGGCGCAGCTATCAATGTGCCTCTGTTTCTGAAGATTCATTTAGTGAGCAAGGCTGGTTGGGCTGAAATATTGGGAGCTACCTCCCAGTTGGTATTGTTGGCTGCATTTTCAAGTTCCCTGCCACTGCCAGTTTCACAGTGGTAAGGGTTAAAGTTGAGGGAACTGAATGTTGACATTATCTGCTAGGCAGAGTATTGTTTATGCATTCTTCATGGTTTTTCTTCCACCATTCAGCCTAGAGAAAGCACCATCCCACTACTGCTCCTGCTCTTGAAGCACTTCGGCCTGTTTTCCAGTCTGCACCTCTTGAAGAGGAAGATAAAGATAGTTTCGAGGACTGTGCGCAGGAGGCAGTCCAGTCCACATTTTAGTTTAAAGTGTGCTAGCCCCATTTTCTGTTCTGCTTTACTTTTACGACATCCCAGTTGTGGGATATGTGGAGAATGTGCTAAAGGAAAAGTTAGCACAAGTTTCTGGGCTTAAGTTTGGATATGGCACTGTTCAGGATCTTACTTATTCCGGACAACCTCTAGTCATTTCACTCTTATGGTTGGAACTTGCAGTCCAGGAAGCCACCAGTTATTCGCTTTTGCATGCCAGTTTTAGATTTGAAGGTGGCCTCCTTTTGAAACAGTCGCTTATTCACAGTTTTACCCCAGACTGATGCAACTCAACATTTTGGCAGCTTGGGACAAACATGCCCAGTGTCTGGATGGTCACATGCAACTGACTGGAAAGATCAGGTGTGCCCTGGCATGGTGGATCTTCACACTGGAATCAGGGAAATCCTTTCTTCAAATGGTCCAGAGCATGCTCACAAGATATGCCAGCCTGTTGGGCTGGGGATGTGTCTTTGATGTCCTCTTGGTGCAGGGTACCTGACCATTAGAGAATGAAACTCAGCTTCCAATCAGTATTCTGGAGCAATTCAATTGTCGCATCAGTGCTGGCCCTCTTGACTGCGAGGTCACTTGAACAGGATTCAGTCAGACCACCACTATGGCTGCAAGTTACAACCATCATCATGGGGGCACAAAATGTTGTGTAGTTGAAAAAAAAAAGCAGATGTGATCCTTGCTCAGGCGTTGCAGCTCTGATCACTGTGCACATCCCAGGTGTGGAAAATTGGCAGGAGAACTTCCTCAGTCATCAGCCTCTGGACTTCGGAAAGTGGTCCCTTCACTTGTGAGGTATACCGGACATGGACCTACTAGGTTCCAGGTTCAACAACAAACTGGACTTATTGTCACCAGAACAGATATTCTCAGGCCTTCACAGTGAATACTCTGGTGTGGAGTCAGTTAAACCTAATTTATGCCTTTTCCTCAGTGAAGCTCCTGCATTTCAGTGATCTTTATTGCATAGGACTGGCTAAGTGGGATGTGGGACATAGGCTCCTGGCAGCTCTTCCTGGACCATCCCCCCATCTCAGCAAGTTTTTTGTGGAATTCATTCTGGTGTTTCTATATTCTGGTGTAAACCCTAGTCATTCTTTTCATAGACCCCTTGCATCCCACTCTTTGATGAAAGCGTTTATAGATGATGAATGTTAAGGTCACCTTTTCCATTGCTATTGCCTCTGTGAGGCGAGGGCCTGCCTTACCCTGTAAAGAGCTCTTTTTGTGTTACATAGGCATAAGGTTGTCTAGAGGCCTTCTTTCTTCCTAAGGTGTTTTCTTCCTTCCACGCTAACCAGGACAATGTGCTTCCCTCTCCCTGTCCTCCCATACATCCCAAGGAAATTTCTCTTCACTATCTTGAATTGGTTCGTGCCATTCGGGTCTATTATTTTGCTACATACACTTTTGGACAGTTGGATTTACTCTTTGCCATTCCTAAGGGTCACTGCAGTGGACACCCTGCCTCTCGCTCTGCTATTTCCAAGGGGATTTTCCATCTTATCCTTCAACTCTACAGTTTAACATGTAAGGTTCCACCCTTTCCAGTTAGAGCACATTCCTCCTTATCTGTTGGTGCTTCATGGACTTTTCAGCATAAGGCATCTGTTCCCCATATTTTCAAAGCTGCCACTTGGTTTTACAAAGGGGATATTTCCTACCTGTTCTGATGCCAGTTTTCATAAGGTGCGTCAAGCTGTTTTCTAGGTTCCTTGGAGCCCTTTCCTGACTTATTACTTGGGCCTGTTGGTGTTTGTTTGCTGTGTTGCTCCTCAGTTGAACTTATTTGGACGTCCTATTGGTCTAAGTCGTAAAGAGCCTGTGTCCTGTAATGTAAGATTAGGAAAATAAAATGTGTCTTACCTGTAATTTTTTTTTTTGTTTCTTATGATCGATTCCTATTACTGCTTGCTAAAAAAAAAAAATAAGGCTTCCTGAGAGTGCAAGGGGTCATATAGGGCTGTTCTTACAGCTTTTTTGCTAGTATCTAATCATCTAAAGGAAGTTTCATAACCCAATGGTCCAAGACTTGACTGTGACGGTCGCGGCGTCAGACCCCAGCCCTTCTCACCAAACTCGTGACCGAAGGACTAGCCAATCTAAAACCGCTCTGTCACGTGCGTAACAATGCCACGCCCAGCTGCACCCTGCACAAAGATTTTCCAGCTAATGGACCACAATCGATGTACCTGCAGCCTGGGAGCGATTGTTACTGGGTCAGGTTAATTACGCAATTAACCCTTCACACTGCCACCACCTCTCCTTTTTGTACAGAGAAAGAGGAAACTCGGCAATATCAGCAATAACACTATGATGTTTGAATAATCGTCTATATACCACTGTCACCGCAGGCAGGGTATATAGAGGTTTAAACACGCACAGTAGCGCTCTTCAGAGACAGGGGTTCTTAGTTTGCATTAAAGAGCTTTAGAAACAGTTCAACACTTTTTCAGATAATAGAATTTATTACTAAAAAGGTCAAAAGGTTGCAATAACAATATTTACAGAAAAAGATGTAGCCAATATATATATATACACAGCAAAGAGATAACAGAAAGAAATTTAGAGAGGTAGAGTACTTCCCAAAAGTCCTGGGTTAAGCAGCTTTCAAGGTTCCTGAGCAAATGGGCCTTATCTCCCAAAGTTAGTTTCGATGTTAAAAGCGATAATTCTTCAACTCAGCTTAGCTCAACTCCAAGCATACAGCTTTTCTAGGAACTCAGCAGGTTGTCTCCCTGAAGCAGAGAACCAATCGCCTCATTTGGGGAGGGTGTTGCAGACGGAGACCCAAGCTAGAACCAAAATCCCTCACAGTTTATATCATGATCAATAACTTATCCTCGGTGCATGTAGCAGCCTGGCCACTAGTGGATTAATATGCAGAAGCACCTGCTGAACGTCTAGATATTAAATATAACATACCTGTTTGGGACTGTTAAGGAGATATTGTTTTCAGCTCTCCTGTAGATTCCAACTAGGGGGTGTAATATATCAGCCAACTTGTATTAAAGTGACCGATCTGAATATATGCCTGGTTCCCTTGTAAGTCTTCCATAACTCCAGATATAAAATTATATGGAAAAGGGGATTTTTAAATGTGAGTCTGTTTTACAGATAGCTGGAATGTCTTTGAAGCTCAGTGAAGGACTGGTTTATGGTTTTACGATATATCTCAGATTGAGAACAGACACCTGGGCACCAGCTAGTTTGGGATTTATAATCCTGGAGCTCTCCCACTGTGCCTGTGATCTCTGGCATCTCACAGACCACATTCCTGAGGGAGGGGGGAAATTAGAGGAAAGCTGATTTGGGAGTAGAAATGATACAAGATGGAGGCCTTTGGCAAAATGGAGGTTCGCATCCATCTCTGTACGTACAATTGCTACATTGACGAGCCTGTGAGTCCCATAATGTACTCCAAGAAAAGGGTTTTACAAGTATGGAAAAACTCTATTATTGAAACCTGCTATAGTAGTTACACAGGGCAAAAGACAGCTGTAACTTGGTTACTGGCATATTTGCAGCATTTTTTATTTGCTCCAGAAACTGACTTTCTTAATACATTATCTATATCTAACACATTAAAGTTTAATGTTAGCATTAATCTTTTCTACATTTATGTAGTGCTTACATTATGATTGGTCATTTTGGTGACTCCAAAGGTGCTCAGATTTTTCTATATTCCATGCTATCCCTTTCTTTTTAACTAACATTCCATGCTATCCCTTTCTTTTTACCTAACTTTTTTTAAGCAATAAAATGACTTTTGTAAAACTCTGTAAAACAAAGTGTTTTTATATGTGGGAATTTTGAACATAATTGTATGGACTGGTCATAAACATTTCAACGTGATAGAACTAAACATTCTCTAAATGTGATTGTTTTCTTTCTTTAATCAATACAGTATCAGTCAATAAAGTACAATACAAGTCATTGCTCTTGAACAAAATGAAAAATGACCACATAAGTTGAAATTACATACAGTTGGATTAGTAGATGAGCAAATTTGTAATGAGGAAAGCTAACATTACATTAGGTCAGAAATGGATGCAGTACCTATTTCTGACCACTAGAGGGGTCCTTTTATAAGGAGCAGTGTGCACATGGAAGTGTCAAATATTCAAGCTGCGTACTGTGGCTAACATTTCTTTTGTCCTATGCTTTTAATATACTATCTATCTATAGTCCCACATTTACAATTAAAAAGCTTACTTGTAAATATGCATGACAGCGGGCCTCAGTAAAGAGTCTGCCTATAATAACCATTCTTTCTCCATTCTGCCCCCTGGACTGGAAGAATGAGTCTCTCTGGTTCCAATGGACAACATGGACAGCTGCTATTTTCAGTTTTGTTGCTAAATGAGGCCCATTATTATTTGAAAGGTTACTGATAAGGTAACCTAACCCTTTACTGTTACCGTAGTAAAAAATAATCTTTTTTTTAAACCTCTTGCATGAGCTATATGGTAAAAATAACATTTTGTATTTTCTTTTTAGCTGTTAGAATTGCGACAAAGACTGGACCAAGCTGAAGCTGATCGGAGAGAGCTGCAGGATGAGCTACGACGAGAACGGGAAGCCAGGGAGAAGCTCGAGCTTATGATAAAAGAGCTGAAGCTTCAGATTTTGAAATCTGCTGTTAAGACTGTTAATGGGGAGTAGATGCACAGCTCACATACCAGTTATCTTTGAAACAGGGTTTATTTTTTGATGTGGACTAGGATGTGAGCATTTTTTTTTTTTTTTTTGCTGTGTACCATAATAGAGGGGCTACTGCCACTTATAAATAAGACGACATACACTTACATGGTTCTTAACTACTCTGACTGGCATACCTGCCAATTTCATGAGTACTTTTCAACTTGCCCTCTTAGCTAAAGAACCTTGTCCACGCTTTCTCTTCGTGTTGCTCTTTGTAATGTGCAGTAAAGTTTTGGCATCACAAGCCTATTCCCTGATATTGTCAAAGATGTTTAACGGCTTGCAAGACCTAACATAGTTCAGATGGTCCACTACTGGTTTGTGCTCTCCAGGTGAGACTTAGGATCCATATACTCCAGCATTGCATCCTGTGTGCACTTTCTTTTTCCATATGTTTGGCAGCTACTGGACAGTCGCACTTTCTTGTAGACCAGCCATGACATAATGCTGCTACTAGATTTCTCTCTGTGTTTCTATTGCTGATCTCATTTTTTCTTCCTTACATAAGATGTCCTAAAATTTTTCATTGACCATGCCCAAATTTGTGGGGTGCTTTAATGTTCTCTTTGAGACATGTTCTTCTCCAGCTCAGAAAGCCAATTGGGCTTATATGCATTTATAAAAGTACAATAGACATCTTCCAGAGTTTTATATTGACAGCTAAGGGTAGGCCATACTAATGCTGTACACCATGTAATCCTTCACATTAAATTGTTTTAATGTAGAGATCAACAGCGTGTTTGCCATAGGCTGCTTTTATCATACAGTAATTTAGATTTTTTATATTTTATGGATTCTGTTGCAATCCTGAACTTTTTCGATAAATGTATTAATTTATACCGAGTGACTTCTTGTTACAGAGGTTGCACTTTAAAGCTGAACTCCAGGGACAGCGGTTAAATACACAATTAAAATACATATATATGCAAGCTGTTTACCTGCCAATATGTAATTTCCATGCTCCCAGTCTTGTAATCCAGACACCCGTGCCACTACAGCAGCAATAGCATAGTTTAGTTTTGAAAACTCCCCCTGCTAATTGGTAAATGAAAGATCAGCAACATCTTGAAGACATCATCCATTTGGTTTGTCCTACTGTCAGCATGTTTGTTGTCGGCACTTGTGCTCTGCAGAAGAGCGTGATTGGCTCCTAATGCTGCCTCTCTATTTTCCAGTGTGTGTACTGTAATGAAAAAAAAACTGCAGTAATCGGTGTTTTATTTTTACAGCTGCTTGGAGTTTAGCTTTAAAAAATGTACTCCTGCAAAAACTTAAAAACAAAAAAAAAAGCAATTCTTCCTGTAGCAATATGCAGGGGCTCCTAGAGCAACCGTTATGATGTGTGCCAGCATCATCATCTCCTGTATCAAAACTTGTCTACTCATATATATCAATGACACTCTGTAGTTGTTTTAATGAGAGAGTTAACTGAGAAAGGTTCAAACATTTTTGCAGAAAAAGGTGCCACTCTTGAACTATGAAACGTGTGGCAGGTGGGGACCCTTCATATGGAGGACTTGGGCGCCCTAGATTTAGCCTAGGCTACATGGATGATCTTTTATTAGCTCAATCATGCTACTAAAATCTCATAAGACTGACCTCTGCTTATATCACAATAAATTTTATGAGCGATGCTACATAAGAGATTTCTAGTATCGCGAATGAGCAATCCGTTTGTCATGATCACACAATGTTGCTCAACTTTCATTCATTTAAGAGATTCTTGGGCAATTTTTGACACTTACGTGTATTCAACAAAATCAATCTCATGAGGCTTATCACCCAACAATCCCTCAAAAATCTTCTGTATTAGCACAAAAGAGAGAGACTAGAAGACTTTTTTTTCTGTTTCTAAGAATAGAAAATGGCCATGTAGCCCTAGGATTACTCTGACTTACAAAAAAAAAAAAAAATCATTGCCTGATGTGCTGAATGCATGCACGGAGCAATAACACTGAAGTGCTGTGTATGGGAAGACTGTCTGTAGAACCAGTTCATTGTCACAGCTGCACTGAAGTAAGCAATAAATAAGAGAATGAAATTTATGTCATGGCTATTTTGGAACTGCTCTGCATAATTTACTAAGTAACCCTATAAACATAAGGGGACCCAAAATATATTCAAGTGCACTGATGATAGTGTGCCACTCAGGTCTTCTGCTTTGAATTATGGTATAGGAACAAAAAATAGAATGACAAAATGCATCTTTAATTTTTGACCAATCTTTGCAGTTTTTTTGCAAATATATAGTATAGCTATAGACATAATTTAGTATTTTATGACATTGTTTACCTAATATTTGAAGTGATTTGCAAAAGGCTCCTCCTTCCACTGTCACAGCTGGTGAGGCATTCTGCTTCCAGGTATGGAGGATCATTGTTTAGGCCTGCACACTCACATGACAAAAGCAGTGACATAACTTCTCCCCCTGGTCGCCGACCAAATTTATTTTATTTCCCAAAGGAGGAAGGAGCATCCAAAGGGTGCAGGAAAGGGAGGGGCCTTTACAGAGACATGGTGCCCTGTATGCATAAGTTGTCAGTGTCTCTTTAACGGTCTCCTATATATGCATTGCCAAAATCTGGTAAGCACTTTTGATATCCAAATGGCAATTTACCAAAAATCTTTTCTATAAAGTAAAGATGAACATGTTTTATGCTGTACATGTTACAAATCAGGAGCACATGGATATGGAAAACTCTTGAGTTTCCGCTTTGTGTTTAGCTCTTTGTTAAAAATTTCCATTCCTCACTGCAGATCCTTCACAAATTGTTTTCAAGACTTCTTTAAATGTTGAGTGATTTGTAAATCCACCATATGGCTCCTAAAGTGAACTCATTTATATCTTCTGCTATGACTAATTGTATGTTTTACAGCTATGACACCTCCAGCTCCATCATGTAATGGAAAATAAGGTGCTGGACATGCCAAATTCACAAAATTAAGTCTTCCTTACCCTATTTTGTGTTTCACTGATCTGCTGACAGTCATTCTAATACACTGGTGTGGTGGCACAGACACTTACATTGTAAGGGTGTTTGTTTAAATTGGATATTACCTGTGCTCCCCAGAGCCATGAAACCAAGAGTAAGTTCCAGGCATATATTTAGTCATTTTAACAGCTCCCTCCTGTTAAAGGAAGAGCTGCGCTGCTGCTACATGTTGGTTTCTGTAGGCATAAGCACCAGCTTGGCCATCACTGTAACCAGATAGCAATTACCAGTCTCGTACCATTATGAAACCAGTGACACCTTAAGGGGCACCTGTCTTTTGCATGCACCTTGAAGTCATTTTGTTGGATTAAATTATATGGTAGTTTGAAAGGTCAGCATGACTAGTGATTCATATTAATCATTATTCATTTTAAAAAGTTATGAGTTATTTAAGTGAATTGATATATTATTTTGAATAATATCTCGACACAAATTGGCTGCTGCTGTTATCTGTAAAGCTGTTAATAGCCATCAGGTGTTTGATCGTGCAGGCATGATCCAGTCACACTTAGATAAAGCTGTTACTTGCTTTCCATACTTGCAGGTTCAGCTCAGTGGAACTTTGAATTATTGAATTATCCTCTATAGAGTGGGGAGAAGGGGAGTAAGAGCTGAGCCCAGGTTATCGGCAATGGAACTCTAGGGAATGGGATGGGTTTTCTAATCTGCTAAGTCAACTGTTTCAGCATTGAGCAGTTGGTCACAGATAGGAAATAGTCACCCAGTCTGGCAAAAGACAACCAGATCAGAAGCTTGTCTTATGTCTGTGGGTACCATAAAAGACAGGTGCTCTGATATAGTTTGGGGTGTAATCAACTAGCAGTTAGATTTAGATAAAACATATCTAAATTTCCTGACTCCAATGTAGTCCTATGCTAAATTTCCTGACTCCAGTGTAAGCCTATGCTAAATTTCCTGTCTCCAGTGTAAGCATAAACGCTCAATTTCCTGACTCCAGTGTAAGCCTATGCTAAATTTCCTGTCTCCAGTGTAAGCCTATGCTAAATTTCCTGTCTCCAGTGTAAGCATACGCTCAATTTCCTGACTCCAGTGTACGCCTATGCTAAATTTCCTGACTCCAGTGCCTATAAGCATACGCTAAATTTCCTGACTCCAGTGTAAGCATACGCCCAATTTCCTGACTCCAGTGTAAGCCTATGCTAAATTTCCTGACTCCAGTGTGTAAGCATACGCCCAATTTCCTGACTCCAGTGAAAGGCTATGCTAAATTTACTGACTCCAGTGTAAGCATACGCCCAATTTCCTAACTCCAGTGAAAGGCTATGCTAAATTTCCTTACTCCAGTGTATGCCTATGCTAAATTTCCAGACTCCAGTGTATGCCTATGCTAAATATCCTGACTCCAGTGTAAGCATACGCTCAATTTCCTGACTTTGCTATGCCTATGCTAAATTTGTAGTCTTTTTTTTACTTTACCAAACCTCAATTCTGTAGTACCTGATTATTGACCGTTATCCTACTCGTTGCAATACTGTCTCTGGACAGCTCTTTGCAAATTAGTATGTGTACAGCTAGGTTTATACTCCAGGATGATATCAGATGGGCACTAATCTGGACTGGCCATAGGTTTTGTTTTTGTTGATCTACTAGCCCAGTTCTCTGAGGAATGATGTGACACATCCTTTGTGCTTTTTTTTTTTTTAAGGGAAACATAATGATTTTATTCTTTGTTGGTTTTTAAATAACTAATGTTACAACTTTTTTTTTTTTTTTTTTTTTGAAGTGGAGCTCTAGGCAAAACATTTTTTTCGTTTTGAATAGAGAAAAGGAGGGCTATAACCCTTGTTGGCTTTTTTGCCACCTGTGCCCCATTGGGGAAATTTCCCCTTACTTCCTGTCCCTCAGCAAAACAGGAAGTGAGAGGAAATTCCTCCGAAATGAGGAATCCCAGAGTGTCACTAAAATTAGTGTTCCCATTGGAAGATTTCCCCTTTATTACTGTTCTGA